TTAACCTTGGCCTCCACCACCACCGCCCATATTACCACCGAAACTAGAAGGGTTCCACTGAAGTTGATTAGCATAGGGATAAGGAAAAGATGGTGGTGATTGGTAGAATCCACCTCCTCCATTACCACCACCATCAATGTTTCCGGTCCTTCTAGTAGGGTAATGATCCATGGTTCTTTGCCGTGGTGTTATCGGTTGAATTGAATTCAAATGTGGCACTGCAGCTGGTAACGTCCCTGTTGGGATCTCATTGCATGCATATCGAATTAAGTCGGCATTGGCAGCATCGAGCTCCTTTTGCAGACGATCAACTTGTCTTTGAAGGAAAGAGATGGCACCAACACAGCCATAAACAGGATCCCTAACGCGAGCTTCAGCTTCATATGCGAGTGAATTCACTGCATCTTCTCTCTGGTGAGGGAGGAGATCATTGAGAAGCTTAGTGACATTGCTGGCACCGAAGATTTTGTGAACGTTTGCGAATTTTTGTGGCTCCTCGGGTGGGAAGTAGGGTGCAAAGATGCAACCAGGCATGCATTTTCTTCTTAAGAACTTGCAGGCAGCACATGGAGAGTTGTAAGAGCTTGCTGAAGCCATTGATTATCTCTCTTCTTCTTTTCTTTATACTGCAATTAATCAAGATTTCATCTATAAAGAATATATGCTAGCTCAATATATTATGTTTTATACACGCACGAAAATACATCATAATGGTATGCATCCGTTCTACAACTAAACTATATATATATATATATATATATATATATATATATATATATATATATATATATATATATATATATATATATATATATATATATATATATATATATATATATATATATATATGAATTTGATTGTTATGTTTCACTTCAAAATTTTATCTAGTACTTGAGCTTTTCCATTCGATAATATTGTCCCAATATCAGGAAAAGTGTGTTCGGATTTGATTAATATTGGGTGTTGAAGGACCAATGTTTAACTGCATAATTTCCTATTGAATAAAAAAAAGATGAAGATAAACTAATCAAGAATATTATTTGTGGATATATACATTTAATTAGTAGATAAATTGAAGAAAGAAGTATATATCTTAATCATTCGTATGCAAAATACTACACGATAATTATATATTAACTAAGTTTACGAAATCAGAAGTAGGTCATTGGTGTACTACGTACGTAGTTAGTAACATTATTTTTTAGATAAGTAATTTTGATTTTTTTTTATCTATGTTTGGTTTCATATAGACATAGAAGATCTTCCAGTAAATCGTTAAAAGTTCAATGAAGGTTGTCCTTGATCAGTAGTGTGTGTCGTGTGTGTGTATGAACACGCACATACATATATGTGAATAATCAATCAAATAGATTGCTTGCAGTATTTGTTTTCTTGTAGGAAACATATATAGAACTGATGAATTCAAGATGTCTGCAACAGTCTTTACTGTATTTCGCTAATCCCAAACCCCAATCTCTCTCTCTCTCTCTCTCTCTCTCTCTCTCTCTCTCTCTCTCTCTCTCTCTCTCTCTCTCTCTCTCTCTCTCTCTCTCTCTCTCTCCTAAATGTACACATACACACATGCATACTATGATCTCTCAAGTCCATATATATTGGTTACCCGATTCCAATCGCTCATATCAAATCAGCACAAACACCTCTCTCTCTCTCTCTCTCTCTCTCTCTCTCTCTCTCTCTCTCTCTCTCTCTCTCTCTCTCATTCTGTGTGTGTGTGTGTTACTCCCTTTCAAGTTGGAATGATGTTTGAGACATTGGATCTGGCTAAGTGCTTCCAATTCCTCATTATTATAATGATTCATTGGGCGAACTAATGGCATGACATGAGCATATATTCTCACAGAGTTACAGTTGAGAAAACCCTAATAGATCATTAGACTTCCAAACTTTACACGGAAAGTAAAGACTGAAAAAGGGAATTACCCTAAAAAAAACTGCCTCATGTGATTACATGTTTTGCAGATTTAGTGGCTGACTAGCTAGGTTCCTTTGATCTTAAGATCACAAAAGATTAAAATAAAAAAGAAAAAAAGAAAAAAGACAGGTACCTTTTTTCTTGTTCTTGTGTGTTAAGTTATAAAAGCTAGCTCTTTGAATGTTCACCCTGTGTGGCTGCTTTCAATTCAAGATAAAAAGTAAGTGCATATATATACATATGCTTCAAAAGATAACACATGAAACTTCAACCTCAATAAAGAAACATCTAGGAAACCCTAGCTAATTTGAGGGGAGGAGAGAAGAGGACAGACCTGCAAATTGATGAGTAGCTTCTGTAGCTTGCAAAAGGTGTGTGTATGTGTGTGTGAGAGAGAGAGAGAGAGAGAGAGAGAGAGAGAGAGAGAGAGAGAGAGAGAGAATAAAGGGTATAAGTGGATTGGAGAAGGGAATGAAGCCAAAAGAACAAAGTTAATAAATCTAAAATAGAAGAGGTACATTTTAAATGTTAAAAAAGATGACTATGACACACCATCTAAAACACAATGTTTGATATTATAATAATGCATGACCAGTGGCTGTGGGGATGTCACCAAATTCTTTTCCTGCTGACAATAGACTTCCCTCTCTTCCTCATGCACCTGGCCATAATCAGCTGCAGTGATTTATTTTGTAAACTGTTGTATATGAACTTAAATTTTTGTTGCAAATTGATCATCGTTGTTGTTACATGAAAGGACTGTTAGAGAATAACGAGCCGCTTATAAGAACGTAAATGCAAAAATGCACCATCATGTGTTTAGCCATTTTATCTTAATTTTAAAAGGTGGTGTTATCTTATATATTTTGTGCAAGAACGATGGTTGTTGAAACAAAAGGTTGTTCACTTCACTAATTTAGTATATAAGTAATGATGAATAAAGTAGACTTCCTACATTATTTCTTTGCAATCGCAAATGCAAACTCTTTTGTTCAACATGCAATAGTTGTGTATAAGTTTGTGTATTGGTGTATTCTTGCCAATTTTTTATAATTTCCACTAATATAAGCACAAAAAAATAAAAAATAAATACAAGACTAAGTCTCAAATTTTGGGTTTCAAATGTACAACTCATCTTAACAAATGTCAATTTATTTCTAGTCATAGAATCATAAAATATTTAAAATTCATAGTTAATCTTTTATATATATATATATATATATATATATATATATATATATATATATATATATATATATATATATATATATATATATATTTAAAGTTCTAAAATTTTGATCCGATTTACGTTTTAGTCCTAAACTAATTTTTGTTTACAAAAAAATCCTAAAAACCAGCAAAAGGTTGCATTTTGATCTTTTTTGACCGGTTGGAACCGGTAACAAATTAATTTTTGACTATTTCATAAATTGACCGTGAATATTGTGACTTCTTCGTTAAAAAAATATTAGGACTTTCCTGCGAAAAAAAACTTTATTATTATTATTATTATTATTATTATTATTATTATTATTATTATTATTGTGACAACCCAAAAATTTTCAACCAGTTCAGTTCAACACTTCATTGAAAGTCAAAGTCATTCCTACTACCTTTTAACATGTTTGGTGTCCGTTTGAGCATTCTGAGCGTTAACCCTTCAAGAGGTAAACATAGGACGTATACTCCAGGGTATTTTGTACATCATAAAGTTCCAAAAAACTCCAAGAGTTTGGAGTTTACGGCCCAAATTGCATTTGGACCGTAAACCCTAATGACTTTATATATATGGCACTTAGCCATTTTTCCTTCATTTCTCCATTTCAAGCTAGAGAAAACCCGATTTCTCTCCCAACGATCTTCAAGCTTTCATCCCAAATGTAAGTACTTATATCCTAGAGTATATTAAGGCTTGTTATACTTCCATATATCAAGAAATCACCCAAGAAACACCAAGAACAAGGTGTTTTTGGTCCATGATGTTCTTGGACCGTAAACCCTAAAATAGGTGCCAAGGTGTGCCCTAGTTCCTTAAAAGCCTTGACAACTAGCATAGATCCTTTCCTTGGTGAGTTTAGCACTTGAAAAACACCAAAAACCCCCCATGAATATGAGTTTACAGTTTGGGAATCTCCTAAAACTGTAAACACCCCAAAAGGGTGTTTTGATGCCCCTAACACCTTAGTAAGCCTTAGATATTAGCATAGAACCTTACACCATTGAACTAAGGACTTCAATACACGAAATGGTACTTCTTACCATGAGTTTACGGCCTTAAACTCATGGGGAAGTGGTCCCTATACTGTAAACACCATACAAGGCCATTCATGTACCTTAAACTCACCAAACCTCTTGTTTAAGCATTGGAACACTTAACCACTTAAGTTATAATAGTTTTAAGCCTTATTTGGCGACCCAATTGAGAGGTTATGGCCATGAGTAAACTCCCTTGGGCCGTAAACTCCAACGAACATGGTCCATTGACCATAAACTATCGTATAAGGCCTTGCACACCTTTGTTGCAACCCGATAGCCTCCTAAAACTTTGACCAAAGTGTTTTTCTCACATTAGGATGTTTATACATGTTTAATTAGTGTTATAATAACTAATTATATATATATATATATATATATATATATATACACACACACACATATGTCTTCATATGTTATTAGGATCATTGTGTATGTCTAAGTCTTCACTTGACACCAAGCACTTGTCCGACACTTCCATCTGATCCGCTCACTGCAGGTGAGCTCATACCCCTTAATTAACCTTTAGATGTTTTCAAATATTTACAAAGTCTTTATGGGGGGGGGGGGGAGGATACAAGTTGAATCATGCTAATTGTTATATCAATCACATGTGATTAATAACTAGCATGCAAATGGATTTACTATACGTTAACTATTTTACCAAAAAGATTTCTTCAAATGACCTCTTTATCAAACTATCTTACATATTGTAAGTTTCCTTTCAAACTCTGTTACAAATGTGTTTTCAAGCAAAGGTTTTCCTTATACTTAAACTGTCTTATCAAACAAAGTACTTTCAATCATTTTATAAACTGACATCAGATCATCGTTTCTTAGTATTAAACTTTTTAAAGGTTTTACAAAACTTCTTTTACGCTTTTATATTGTCAAATGCATGCCTTGATATGTATAGTTATATAAATAATGTTTAAAGGACTTAGGACGGTTAACTCGCTTTATTTCCTTTTCCTCATTGGGATGTGGCCTTACGACATTGGTTGCTCATATGAATGTCGTCTAAATATTAATTATATATCATGTATACATATATAGGTATAAAGGTTCCATTAGTCAGTTCAGTACCTTTGGGTAGCAAAGGTATATTTCCGGTTATACTCGTACATTACTAGTAACTATAATAGGTATAGTTAGGAGATACTACTTACAATTGCAAGTACAAGTAATCACACAAGATTCAGTTCATTCATGAGTCTATACTAATACATTACATGTTACATGAATACGTTTACATAGATACGCTTACATGAATGCGTTTACAAAGATACACTTACATGAATACGTTTACATAGATACGTTTACATGAGTATGTTTACATAGATACGATTACATGAATACATTTACATAGATACGCTTACAGAGATACATTTACATTGATACGTTTACAGAT